AGATGGCTAGGGATTAGATCTAAGGATGGGGAACTGGGAAACCTAAAGGGAGGAAAGAAAAAAGAAGAGGGCATTATTGGACGCTAGCACTAATGTGGCTGACCACTACATTCTGCCTGAGCAGAACTAGTTAAGTGGAGGAAGGAAAGGTCTAATGAATTAGTGAAGTGATGGATATGTGAAACAACTAGAGATTCAAGTGCCGAGGAAGAAAGGTTCAGTGCATGTGGATTAAGTAGCAAGTAAGGTGAATAGGAAGGGACACCATTTAAGTGAACAATTTTAAAAAATGTATTAATTCTTTTGTTTTGCTACCAGTCATTTTCTGATGAGCCCAGTCTTCTTTGAATCCTCTGAATAACTAATTTCATGCAAAATAATTTCTTCTGACATTGCATGTCACTTCTGCCAACTGTAGCCCCTCCATCTCACTGCCCCCCCCAGTCCCCATACAGAGAAAAGTAAAATGGGTTTCATCATCTGTTCTCTGGATTAAAATTGGTCATTACATTTAATCTGAATTCAAATGATGTTCAGTGTTGCAGGCAGTTACCATATATGTTGTCTTCCCCGTTCTTACCTTTTTGTTCTATATCACTTCATATTAGTCTTTCCATAGTTTTCTGAATTCTTCCTACTCATCATTCCATACAGCACACTATTCAGTTACATTCACATACCACAGTTTGTTTAGCTGTTCCCTGATAGTTGGGCACCCACTTTCTATACTTTTTTTTTTTGCTAACATAAAAAGTGCTACAATCAATATTTGATTGGACCTTTTCTCTTTCTCTAGTAGTAGGATTGCAGGATTAAACATTATTAACAGTTTAATGGCTTGTCTTGCATAGTTCAAAATTGTTTTCTAAATGGATGGACTAATTGGCAACAGTTCCCCCACTGCTCCTCCAGCATTCACTATTTCTGTCTTTCTCATCTTTGGCAGTTTGCCAGTTGGGAGGTGAAATCTCAGAGTTGTTTTAATTTGAATTTCTTTTATTATTAGAGTGGGTAGAGTGGCTAGCCTCCAATAATGACGTCTTCTTTCTTTTCTCCCTATGTGTTTCCCAGTTCCCCACTCTTAGAATTACTTTATTATTATATTTTTTTCTACATTCAACAAATAGTCTATTAATTATTGACTGTGCAAAATACTGTGTTGGGAATGCAAAGAAAGAAAAATGCCCTTAAGGATAATTAGTTGAAGGAACTAGACTTGGAAAAGTAGAAAGTAAGGGGAGGGCATGATAGCTGTCTTCTATTACTTGAAGGGCTGTCCCATGGGGGGAGATTAAACTTCCTCTGTTTGACTCCAGAGGACAGAACCAGATACAGAAGAAGCAGCTAGGTAACATATTAGATTGAGTGCTGGACCTCACCTTAGAGAGACCAGTGTTCAAATCCCTTTCTTGAACATTGGTCTCAGTCTCAGTTTCCTCATCTGTAAAATTGATAACAATAACAGAACCTACCTCACAGGTTGTTGTGAGGATCAAATGAGAAAATGCCTCAGAAAGCATCTGAGGAATGTGAGATGAGGAAGAAAGAAGAAGAGGAAATATCAATTTTTTTCAGTGAAATGTGAGATATGGTTCTCATTTGAGAAGGTGGGAGGAGGGAGAGCCATGAGAAGTTTGAGGAGGGACAAAAAGATGCAGAAAAGCCTTTGAGGTTGTTGAGATTTTGCTGAGCCACTCTTATCTGAGAATGATGAAGCTGCAGGCCAGAGACAAGTGCCAGCAATCAGGTAGCAGTTTAATTAGTTTCATTTTGAGGAACAGATATGCAAATCAGGAATTCTCCTGATCAGAATTCCACCTTGCTGAAGTGAAGAAAGAAATTATATATACATAAATCACAAGTGGGCCAAGGGAGGTGGGGGGAGGTGGATTGCGAATAATCCCTCCTGGGGCCAGAGTGGTTTCCCAGGACAAATTTCCAGGACAAATCCTGGAGTCCTGTGGGAGCAATAATGCTCAAGTCCTTGGGGTCATTACTTAGTGGGTCACAGGACCAAGTTCTGTGACAACAGGTTCTACAATCTGTGATTTGCTTCACTTCAGGTACAAAGACAGAAGGGTGCCGGTGATTGTGGGTCTTGTCAAGGTTCTTGAGTGATCAATTCAAGATGCATTGTGAGTCTGACTCACAAGCTAGAAGATGCAGCTCTTGAGAAAACTAAATTACTAGTATATTCATTACACATAGCATATCAATTAATAGGAAAATTATAAATTCCTTGCTCATGGCGAATGAGATAGTGAATAGATTGGGGGGAGAGGAGTTGGTCTAAAAGGATCGCCTTCCTGAAGTGAGAACCCAGTTGAGATTATGTAACATAAATTTGTAGTTGACCCAGTCAGCACTAATTCTACCTTTGTTGGGAAGCATGTGAATAGAATCATTGGTAATGGATGGTGGGTATAATCCAATGCTGGGCTTGGAAGGTGTGATAAGACTATACCAGCATTTCCCTGATTCAGCTTCTCTCCCCTCTCCCCAATAACATAGGCCCAGGCCCTTCATTTCCTAACTGTAAGGGATTATCATTTCAGTAAGAGGAGTCAAATCAGTTCCCAAGACCTGATTAATTTCCACTTCCCCAGACCAGCTTCCTGGTCACCTAAAGGCATAAGAAGTCTCAGCCATGAGCAGAGATTTCTGAAAACCACAGGAGTGACTCAACACTTTTCCATATGGAGACTGGGAGTGAGTGTGAGGGAGGAGGGGGAATGGCCAGAGAAGCTAAGTAACATTGTATCAATGTGTCATCTTTGCTACATTAGGGCAAAGCAAACAACCTTTTGTTATCTGTTCCATGACTTGAAAGTGCCTCATTTAGAAAAAGCAAACCTGAACTGAGAGTGATGGTGTTAGGGCTTGTACAGCAGCCTCTGACAGCAGGGCAAGATTAACTGTAGGATAAGGAGCAAGGAACTCAAGATAAGGGGATCGAGTAGACTTGAATTGGTTCATTCAGGGTTCAAGATGGAGAAGGAAAGGTAATGTAGGCAACTTATGGATGATAGCTGGGGAAAGACCTGAGCAGGGAGTGATTGAAGTCGTAGTGAAGATGAAGAACAGGGCTGAGGGTTATAAGGCAGAAAAAAGTGAGTTTAACGATAGATCACGATCATATAAAGTAATTTCAGAGTCATGAATATCAAAGCAGACGTGGGTCATGGCAAGATCAAGGGTATGACCATCCCTCTGTAGATGAGGTGAGGTTGAGGAGTTAGGGGAAATGGGTAAATTGAACAAGTAGGAGGTAAGGGTCTTTGAGGGAATATCAATATGTATTGGTCTTCTAATGAGGACAGAAGTTAGGGAGAAGAATGTGTTAATGGAATCAGATGAAAGGAGGGGTGTCTTGGGGTCAGCAGATAAAAGCTAGCAGAATTCTGATTGGGTGATAATTTTGGATTGAATAAATCTCAAAGAAGTTACTTGGGGGGGGATGGGAGGTGTAGAAGGAAAATCTGAAAGTGGCAGCGAAGAGCAAGGCATACACCAAATCCCCACTAGTGTTGGAAAGGATATACAGTGAAGCAGTGTTATAAGAAAGGAGCCAGGTCTCAGTGAGTGCAAGGTGGAAGGAGTGAGAAAAGAAAACATTAGAATATCATCTCCTCTTACCAAGTATTCTTAAGTACCTCTTCCCCCTGCCCCCATCAGTGACAGAATCCTAGGTTGTGTGGACCTAGGTTGTCTGAACAATCATATATGTCTCTTTCCTTGGACATAGAAAAAGACAATTTTAAATAAAGCTTACTGAAAGAAATGTCATTGTTATATCCAGAATGCAAACCTTTAATAAACAATATACACTGATTTTAATTCCAGGGATACCCTTCAAACATGGAAAATGCTTAAGAACTAAACTGGTAACAGCCCACCTCCAAAAACTCCAACCTGCTTTGCAAGATGGGCCAAATATTCCTTAAACACCAACTGGGTCATTAACTACATGCTTCCTAATGTTTGGGAACAATCCAGCTAACGCTCAGGTACGATCCACCTTTTATTTTTTTAAGGAGGCATCGGTTTTGACAGTTACTGCCTAGGGCCATGGCTGCTCCAGGGCATCCAACCTCCCTCCTCTCCCCCTCCAGGCATCAAACCTGGGGGCCCTGTCTTTGACCCGCAGACCACCCGGGAGAAAATGCGGAATCTAGCTCGGCCTCCTCTGGAGGGGGGTGCATTTCCTCTGGACCCACAAGATTCTGGAGAGAGGGGACAGCGAGGGTGGAGGGTGAGCGGCCGTTCTCAGCCCGGGCCACACGCACGCGGGAAAGCCTTCTTTCCTGCCGCCCACGCGGCCTCGGAGAGCAAAGCGCGGGTGGGGACGGCGCTCGGCGGCGGCAGCTGCAGGAGCGGCAGAGCTTTCCTTTCGTTCGGTCTAAGACTTTCTGTCCTTGGGAAAGCCGCTCCAACCCCACCTCCCGGCTGTCCAGTAACGGGATCCGTTCCTGCCAAATGCTGGGAAGGAAGGCAGGAGCGAGACCTCCGGGAAAACCCCAGCTTCCTCAGTGCCCGGCCAGTCTGGGAGAATAGGGACAGAGCTAGAGTCGGGTGGGAGGCGGGATAGGGGCGGGCGGGGGGGAAGGGTAGGGAGGCAAAGAAGCAAGAGGAGGAGGGAAACCGCTAGAGCCAGCGCAGGCGCACGGCAGACACGAAAGCTGGGCAAACAGGAATCCCTCGCCCCTCCCGCCTCGAGAGCCCTCATCCTGGAATCCGCATGCGCACCACAAGGATCGGGGAGCCTTGGAGGCATGGCTGACAGAAGGGGCGAGGGCGGGCTGGGCCTTCGCTGCCGCGAGGACGGCAGTCGGCGCATGCGCGGGGAGAAGGTCAATCACAGATTTGATTTGCGGCTTGCCGATTAAAAAAAATTAGGGAAAAAAAGGGTCTGCCCCTACGCGTGCGCGCTGCGGGCAAGCATAGCCTGGGCGGCTGGGCCCGGGGCCTGTCGGTTGCCGGTAGGCTTGACTTGGCGGCGCATGCGTGCTAGCAGTGCCGGCGGATGAGGGGAGGGGAAGAAAAGAGGAGGAGAAGGAGAAAGAGTGGGGTGGCCGCAGAGGCGGCAGCAGCAGCAGTAACCGCGGCGGCGGTGACTGCGGGTACTACTCGCAGGCCTCGGGTGGCTGCTGCTGCTGGCGGTGGAAGCTTGTGGTGTACGGGGGGCTCCTTGGGAGAGGCAGCAGCTGCCGCAGCAGCACGGAGGGGTGGGGGGAGGGGGGAGAGGGAAGAAGCCACCGGAGCCGCCAGCAGTTCGCACGGTGAGGACTGAGGGCGCTGGGGAAGGCAGGGGGCCGGCCGGTGCGGAGGTGGGGGCGCACCTCAAAGTTTGACAGCCGGGCAGGACAGTCTTTCTCCAGGAGTTGGCCCCGGGGCCCGCCCGAGGAGGGGACACCCCCTCCCCCCCGGGGCGAGCTGGGGCTACCTGGCGGGCCGGGGGAGGGGGGGCGGAGGCTGGGGCGGAGCGGAGAGCCGGGGGACCGAGGGTGTTTCCTCAGGGACCCGCTAGGCCTTGTGACCCACTTTATTTCTGTCATTACTCAGGCACGTTTGGAGCACAGCCCGATTGGGCGTCCGAGTCGCCCTGGGCTCTTGGTCACCCCCGCCCTGTCGCCGGCGCTCGCTCGGCCCAGTGAGCATCCCTCCTCCCCGCTGCCAGTGCCCGCCGGGCTCCCGAGTGTCGTGCCCGGTGCGGCGGGGAGCAGCGCGGCCGCCCCCGCCGCGTCCGGCCCGCCGAAAGCCGCGCCGCGCCGGGCCGGGCCGGCCCAAGCCGCCCCAAGCGGGAGGTCCGAGCTCGGAACCCCCCACGCATGTGTTTCTCTTCAGGGAGCGCTGCGCCCGCGGAGCCCGAAGGGCGGTACAGACCGCAGTGCTTTTGCCTTTTGCCCCTCTGCCTTTTTTTTGCCTCGAGGCTCTTCTGACAGCCGCTCTTGGCCTTCCCGGCCGGCCCGCCTCGCCGCCCTGGGGGTGCTGGGGCAGCAGCGTACTGGGCTAAGCCTTGGATTTCCCATTTCAGTGAGAAGTGGTTTTACTCGTGTGTGGAAGTGCCTTGTTCAGGGGCGATGAAAGAGGCTGCGACCTGGCGGGTGAAGGATGTCGTTAGTTTGTTGTTTCCTGCACTTGGGACTGATAGGCACTGGGAAAACTTTCAGGCTTTAGAGAGTGTGTGTGTGTGTGTGTGTGTGTGTGTGTGTGTGTGTGTGCGCGCGCGCGCGCTTGCGTGTATTTGTGCCGGCACATCTGTCTATGTGCATATATAGTATATATGTATAATATATACACAGACACATATAGGTACCTGCAAGCATGCCAGCGTGAGTATATGTATGTATGTGATATGTGCCTGTTGTGTGCTAATATGTGTAAATATATGCATATGTATATATGTGTGTATATGTAGATTGTGTACCAGTGCATGTATATGTATGTTCGTGTATATAAGGTATGTGTGTGACTGGGGGGATAGATGTATATGTTTGTACATATATGTGTACACATGTGTGTATTCATGCCAGCGTGTCTATATGTGTGTATGTGTGTGTGTGCTGATGTACAAGCACATATGTGTGTGTGACTAAGTGAGACTGTATATATGTGTATATATGTGCCTGCAAAGATATATATATGTGTGTGATAAAGTGAATTTGTTTATCTGTATATGTGTGTGCATTTGTATATGCATGTTTGTGTGTGTATATGTATGCGTGTGCACATCAGTGAGTACATATACTTGTGTGTATGTGTATATCATATATACACATATGTACTGTCTAAGCACCCCCCAAAACTGAAGATGAAAACAGAAAGAGAAGGAGAAACTTGTTTAGCCACACTTTATTTGTTTATTCTTATGCTCCCTAAAATCAGAGTAATGCAGTTCTATTCAGGATTGCATTGCAGTGTCTGGGTGAGGGTGTTTTGGTTGGGGTGAAGGTGTAGAAAAGGAATAGAAGAAAAAGAGACTACATTGTAGTAGACTACAATTGTAGATTACATTGTAGTGCAACTGTGGACTACATTGAATGTATTTGTTATATATATTTAAAGATTAACATGGAAACCTTTTAAACCAGGATGCATTTTAGAAAGTGTATTCCTTTTACTGAAATATGTCCTTTGAGATGCCTCCAATATGATCTTGCTTTAAAACTTGTTAGGAAAGAAAAATAATCTAGGTTCAAGTGTTAAAACATTTGACTGGAAAAAAAAAGATCGTTTCTAAAGTTGAGCATGAATAAAGTAATGTGAAAATTAGTAATATTTCTTTGCCCACCAACATGTTCATTGCCCTTTTTGGAGTAACAACTTATTTTTTAATTCAAGAAAACAAATACTAATGAAATACTCTTATTTGTGGACTTTAATTTTGACTGTGAACAGAGATTTTAAACTTCGGTAGAATACAGAATAATTTGCATTTCCACATTTCACTTCTTTGGTTTAGGTACAGATTATCATGGTGCTCTTTGGATTTGACATAGTGGTTGACGTGCTCATATTTTCATAGTTTAGCTCCATTTCTGCTTCATTAAGCACTACTGTGTACTGAGTTTTCCTGTCAACCACTTAGGAAATGTGAATATTCCAATAAGTGAATTTCATATTAGATTTGGTTTGTCTAGATATTCTGCATTTCACATTATGAAATTTAAGGATGTCAGCAAGTACTGTATATAATATTCATATTAGGAAATAAGAGAGTTCTCATGTAAATAAATATATTAACTGTTTAAGACAGTTTCATGATGAAACTTATACTAAAATGATTTTTAAAAATTTAATGTTAGTACATGTCATGTTTTATATACTTTTAAAATGATCACTGTCCTAATCTTAATGCAAGAAAGGGTATGGGGACTAAAAGGCGGTTAAAATATATATTTTTAAAAATTTCAAACTCCCTCTAGTGGCTAATAAGGTATATATCCTGTTGAAATTACTTCACCAAGGATTGGGCAAAAATATGGGGAAAGTTATTTTTATTCTGTTATTGAAGTTTTTTTTTAAGAAACTTACCAGTCTTACTTTTCTTTCTAAATTTTATATCATGTTTGTAAATCTTTGTGTTATAGGACATGTGATTTTTGTGTGTGATCTCGGCTTACATATAATTTTATTCCTTGGTTCTGAAAGATGGGCAGTTATTTCCAGTTGGCTTTATGTTAGGGGTTCTGTTCAATCTTGAACAACACTGAAGATAACACAACTAGTCATTGTCTACCATTCTCTCAACCTCCTTACTTTTTCTGCCATTGCTATTATTCCGTTGCAACCCATGGACAAATGAATAATTTTATATATATCATAAAATTTAGTTTGTCATACAAAAATGCAACTATAAGTCACATTTGAAAGGCCAGGAGCAGTTTGTGTTGCCCTAGGTATGCTCATACTGGTGTAGACTCTGTGTTAAATATCCTTGATTTCAGGGGGTCTAGTTTTAAGTATGGCTCAGTCTGCACAGCCCCTGGGCTAAGTCTTACTCTGCTTCTGCACACTTTAAAAAATTATTTAGTATTTTACTTTACCCTAATTACATGCAAAAACAATTTTCAGCATCCATTTTTAAAACTCTGAGTTCCAAATTCTTTTCCTTTCTTCCTCCCCACCCCCTTCATTGAAAAAGCAAGCAATTTGATATGTTATACTTGTATAGTCATGTAAAACATATTTCCATATTAGTCATGTTCTGAAAGAAAACATAGAACAAAGAGAAAAAACTCAAGAAAAATGAAGTAAAAAATAATGCTTCAATTTGTAATCAGACACCATCAGTTCTTTCTCAGGGGAGGGATAACATTTTTTTTTTTTATCGTAAGTCCTTCAGGCTTGTCTTGGATCATTATATTGAAGACAATAGCTAAGTCATTCACAGCTGATCATCTTACTGTATTGCTGTTACTTTGTACACAATACATTTCACTTTGCATCAGCTCATGTAAATCCTTCCAGGTTTTTCTGAGAGGATCCCACTCATCATTTCTTATAGCACAATAGTATTCCCTCACAATCACATAGCACAGTTTGTTCAGCCATTCCCAAATTGAGGCATCCCCTCAATTTCCAATTCTTTGCCACCAGAAAAGTGCTGCTATAAATATTTTTGTGCACATAGGTCCCTTTCCTTTTTGTTTTTTGTGTCTTTGGATACAGACCTAGTAGTGACATTGCTAGGTCAGAGGATATGGTTTTAAAACCCTTTGGGCATAGTTCCAAACTACTTTAAAGAATGGTTGAATCGGTTCACAACTCCACCAAGAGTGCATTAATGTTTCATTTTCCCCACATCTCCGCCAACATTTGTCATTTTCCTTTTCTGTCCTATTAGCCAATCTAATAGGCATGAGGTGGTACGTTAGAGTTATTTTAATTTGCATTCCAGTCATTAGTGATTTAGAGCATTTTTTTCATTTGGTTATAAATAGCTTTGATTAGTTCATCTGAAAAGTTAGTGACTTTGGATCATTTATCAGTTGGGGAATGGCTTTTATTTTTATAAATTTGACTCAGTTCTCTATATATTTGAAAAATGAGGCCTTTATCAGAGAAACTTGCTTCAAAAATTTTTTTCATAGTTATAATTGCTAAATGTATTTCCCTCCATCTTATTCCCACCCCCCTCCAGTTTATTCTTTCTCTTTTCGCTATGTCCCTCCTCAAAAGTGTTTTGCTTCTGGCTACCATCTCCTCCCAATTGGTCCTCCCTTCTGTCACTCCATCCCACCCCCTTCTTTTACTCCCTTTCTCTCCTACTTTCTTGTAGAGTAAGATTTCTGTACTCAATTGAGTGTGTATGTTATTTTCTCATTAAGCAAATTCTGAGGAGAGTAAGGTTCATTCACTGCCCCTTCTATCTCTCCTTCCACTGTAAAAGCTTTTTCTTGCCTCTTTTATGTGAGATAATTCTACCTCTCCTTTTCCCTTTCTCCTAGTGCATTCCTTTCTCACCCCTTAATTTTATTTTTTTAGATATCATCTCTTTGTATTCAGCTCACACCTGTGCCCTCTCTATATCCTCCTTCTTACTGCCCTAATAATGAGAAAGTGTTTATGAATTACAAGTATCATCTTCTCATGTAGGAACATAAACAGGTTAACCTTATTAAGTCCCCTGTGATTTCCCTTTCCTGTTTACCTTTTTTATGCTTCTCGAGTCTTGTATTTGAGAGTCAGATTTTCTATTCATCTCTGGTCTTTTCATCAAGAATGCTTGAAAGTCTTCAATTTCATTTTTTTTCCCCTTGAAGGATTATACTCAGTT